GGGGGGGGGGGTTAGCCTAAAATGGGCTTTCAGTGCGTTCCAGGGTGTTTGCATGCATTTTTTATGCGTTTGCATGCGTGTCGGTGTGTTCCAGAGCAGAAAAAATAGGGCATGCTGCAGTTTTTCTACATGCTCTGGAACTGAACGCTCTGGTGTGAACTAGAGCCGAAAATACCATTGGAATACACTGGATGCAGTTTTGATCCGTTCTGTAACTGCTCTGCATCTGCTCCGCGCGTGGTGTGAACAAGCCCTTAGCTAGTCCTCAGTCCTGCTGGCCTAGTTTGAGCTTCTAGACCGGTCCCCACAGCCTCTTCTCCCCTGGACTCCAGCAGTCTAAGGACCGCTAGCATCATGCCGTCTTATGCAGGTCCATTGAGCTACATTACATGCGAGGATGCTGAGTCCCCTAGAAAATACGAGCACCCAACCTTGCAGTAGGGCTACCCTAGCACTGCAAGGGTTACGATTTTTTATGTTGCTGGAGTTCTTCTTTAAAGGAGAACTATGAGGTGAGTGAAAATCACTCAACCTCATAGTTTGAGCCGACGTGTGACAATGAAACTGTCACACATCGGCTCAATAGATCGGGAAGTGAGTAAGCACATACCGTCGCTCGCTCACTTCTAGATCATCTCCCTGCAGAGAGCCCTGATCGTCACTCACTGCAGGGATTCCCCCCTGCCCTCTCCGATCCTCCAGCGCTGACTGGAGGAACAGATGGGGGAGGGGGCGGGTACAGCTGGCTCTGCCTCTAGATGGGCAGAGCCAGCTGTAACTCACGCTGCTGGGTGGATCTCGACGGCATTCGGCTGCGGCGGTCTCAGTATACCGCTAGCTGTAGCTCGCGATATACTGAGCTTAGGGTGACGGGAGGACGCTAGTCTATGTCCTCCCGTTACCCTTAAGAGAACTATGGGGAAAAACACTTACCCCATAGTTCTCTTTGGGTAGTGATGTGCGTCACCTTTTAAACTGATGCTATTATGTGAAAATGTATTCTTAAATGCTTTTTGAGAGCTATTTTTTTTAGGCAAGTTGTGACAAGTTGGCAAATCTGTGACCTAATGCGACAACAAAATGGGCACAAAGTGATGCAATATTTATTATGAAAGGTGGCATTATGATAAATCTGTTACTGTGCCAACTTGTCTAAGAATTGCATCAGACACAACCGTTGTGGGTTTGTTGACAAAGGTCCCACACTAGACTTTTTTTACGGGAATAGTTTTTATTAAAGATTTATTAAAGATTTCACAGAAACAGCTTTCCAGAGTATACAAAGAATGCAGTAGACATGCCAAAAAACACAAAAGCATTAATACACGAGACCACACTATACTTGGCATTGCTCTGTGTTCTGTTTCCTTTGTACTGGGTAGAATAGTTTAATTTACAACACCTATCTTTACCTGAATATGGACCGCGTATCTAACTGTTCAAACTCAAAACTTCCCACTCACCTGTTGCATAGAAAAATACCAACTCCCCAAACAACTCCAATTGTCATCATGCAGAATATGTTGAATACTTTAACAGGACCTGATCACTATATTTAAAAGGGAAGTGGAGGCAGATATAAAACACCTTTCACCCACAAAAATGGGCTGAAAATCTCGGCTTATACTCGAGTATATACGGTATCTAGTGTATTTACCTGACTCTGTATATCATCCTTATGTAGTCCTCTGCACAGCAGTGTTTAGAAAAGGACACACACTGAACATGTGAGAACCTTGTTGTGTTGCACAGTGTTGTAATACAGTGAACATGCATACAGAAGTGGGCAGCACATACATGACCTCAGTAATGTGCTGCTGTTCCTTCATGTTCCATAGGCTTTGTGGGTCCTGGACCAGGCTGTATTGCTTAACTGCAATGTAGTCTGCAGGGTGGTCCATGATCTGGCAGGGATGCCTGGATGGCAAGACTGACTGAACAAAGATACAAATCTTTTAGCTTTGTTTACATATGTGTATCTTAGTTATGTATTAAACTGTGAAGTTCTGCTTAAATGTGGACACCGATCAGTCATAACATTATGACCACTGAGAGGTGAAGTGAATAAAATTGACCATCTCGTTACAATGGCACCTGCAAGTGGGTGGGATATATTAGGTAGCAAGTGAACACTTTGTCCCTGAAGTTGTTGTGTTCGAAGTAGAAAAAATGGGCAAGCACGAGGATTTGAGCAACTTTGAAAAAGGCCAAAATTGTGGTGACTCGACAACTGGGTCAGAGCATCTCCAAAACTGTAGCTCTTGTGGGATGTTCCCAGTCTGCAGTGGTCAGGACTAGAGCTGCAACAATTGTTCGATTAAGTCGATTAAAATCGACGATGGAAAACATTGTCAGCGTTTTCCATCGTCAATTCATTGGCTAAAATTCAAATTTCCCGCTCACGCCACGCCCATGTCGGTTAAGGCCCCGTTCCCACTGCACGATATGCAAATCGCGCGATATCGCGAGATTTGCAGCGCGATATCGCGTTCAAGCTTGCATTGAGCAAGCTTGAATCGCGGCTAAATCCGCTCCAAAAAGGGTCCTGCTGTAGCGACACACGACCCGCGACAGCTGGACCCTTTGCCCCATTGAAATGCATTGGTGCGCGATATCGCTCGGTAATTTGCCGCGATATCGCGGGAAATACCACGCGATACATCGCTCAATGTGAACAGGGCTTAAGACGATCACGCCACGCCCGCTGCACACGCCGGTAAACCCGCTCACGCGACGCCGCTTACGCTACGCCCACCGCACACGCTCAGGACATGCGTCTGGCTCTCTCCTCCCGGTAAACTTCCCGACTCGCCGCTGCCCGGCGACAACCAAGGGCCCACCGTCATTCAAAGTAAGTCGAGATCGGCCGGGAGCTTTTTATTGTTTCCTGTTTTTTTTTTAAAGCGGCACACTGCAGAACATTAGCAGCTATAGAGGAACAACAAATCCCAGCAATAATACATTAAACAGCCTGTATAATGCATTATTGCTGGGATTTGTTGTTCCTCTATAGCTGCTAATGTTCTGCAGTGTGCTGGTGTATTATACATTGGTGTTCTGTAGAGCTGCAACAATTATTCAATTAAGTCGATTAAAATCAACGATGGAAAACGTTTTCCATCGTCGATTTGTCGGCTAAAATATAAATTTCCCGCTCACGCCCGCCTGTTCGCGGCTCCATACACGAGTTACGATACGGACGCCACGCCCACCGCGCACACGCCGCGTGAAAATCACTCTCCTCATAATTCTCCTTTTAACTATCAACAACAATGTCTCTTATTTGTTTATCATTCGGCTCTAGATCCTCAAATCATCTCTGAATTGCTGCTGACACTGTCCTTCCTTCTGGAGGGTGACTACTTTTGTTCCCCATGGTCCCTGTGTGTGTTGTAAAGTAGCCACCTCTCCAAGCTCACTCCCGTGATGGACTACAATCTCAATACAAATTAGTAAACTAAACATGAGATTGTAGTCCATCACAGGAGTGAGCTTGGAGAGGTGACAACTTTACAACACTCACGAATTCCACCAAGAGTGGTCAGCTGGGAACTGAGCGCATAGACCTGATATTGTCAGCCAGAAATCCGATGAAACATTTTATGTGACTCTCTGGCACCCAGCTAGGGTGGTTTGTGTGTTTGTTTATTTTGTGTTTCCTTCCCGGAACTGTTAAGTAAATATCTTATCTTTCATTTCAGCGCGGAGGTCCGGAATGAAAACCTGAAGTGTGCCTCTACCGCTGCCAGAACGCGACGATTGTTACCAAGTGTTCCTCAAAGTTTAAAATTCAACCTTATAGTTAACTAGAAGTTTAATAAAGAAACCCAAATCTCCACACTTTGGAAGTTTATAACCTCAGCCTTCACTTCTAACTCTTCCAAAATCTGTTTTCCTGTAAGAAGCAATGGAGACGAGTGTGTATTTACATTTTTTGAATGTAATAATTAAATCTCACTATTTGTAATATGCAAGTTCTTTTTATTTTAATTCCTTCAAAAGGAAAATACACATATTTGTTAGTTCTGAAATGTTCACACAAAAGGAAGGCAAAAGTCAGAAATGTACATGGCACAGACAAGATATTTGCAGCAAAAAGAGACATTGGGCCACATAGAATGTGTAACCTTTCACAGGGCTTTATTTTGTCCAGTTATGAAAATACTAACTGACCGGCTGTCATGCTGACTGGCTTCAGTGTTTTTCAGCTAATGAAGCAGAACAAGCATAATCAGAAGTGTAGGAAATCCTTATTTGCTTGCCTGTTCCAGGGCAATGATTTGCAGCATTTTTGGAAGGCAGGACAAAAAACGTTGGACACAAGTTTCTCTCATTAAAGGAGAACTATGAGGTGAGTGCAATGAGACTGTCACAGGTCGGCTCAGTAGATCGGGAGGTGAGCGAACACATACCGGCGTTCGCTCACCTCTCGATCCTGTCACGGCTCTCTGCCGTGAAAGGGGAGGGGCTGGATTCCCCCCTCCCCGCTCCGATCCCCCAGCGCTGACTGGCTGAACGGACGGGGGAGGGGGCGGATAGGCAGAGCCAGCTGTCAGTCACGCAGCTGGGTGGATCCCGGCACAATTGTCGGGATCCGCTTCAGCTGCGGCGTCTCAGTATACCGCGAGCTACAGCTCGCGGTATACTGAGCCTAGGGTGACGGGAGGACGCTAGTTTGTGTCCTCCCGTTACCCTAAGGAGAACTATGGGGAAAAGCCTTAACCCCCATAGTTCTCCTTTGAGGCCAGCTAGTAAGGGGAAAAATAGCCCCAGCCATTCAGAAATAGAAGGATGATATTGTATCTGGACCTACATTACTGTATACAAGCATTGCACATACAACTTATGAATTAGAATGGCAACCCAACGCAGCTCCTGGGAGCTGTGCATTGGAGCGCAATGCAAGGTGCCGCAATATCGTGCAGTAAAAAAAAAAAAAAGTAGTATTGTGGTACCGCCGGGAGGTGCTTTGGGGTGTCATTGAAATGAGCGGCAATGCAACACATCTTTTGCATGGTACCGCTTGCTAGGTGTGCTGCGTGAGGGCATGATAAATGCATGATAACGTACATTTAACGTAATGCGTAGAACAAGCCTTGCAGCTACCTACTAAACGCCAGAGAAGACCAGCAGAGAGATTTGTAGCTGCTACAAGGTTGCTTGTATGACCTTGATTTCCAGGGATAACTTTTGATATTGAAGTGCCACCTTTGGAATTATTTCCTCCAGCTTTCAATATTTAAGAAAACCACAATTTGATCTCTATTTTTGTACCTACTAATCTGGTCACATATGTATTCTGAGCATTTCACCTGTGTAAAAGAATTGAGATTTTGGTACAATAGAAATATTTTTTATTCAAGCCCCATTGCAGCTTGGGTAAAAGATGAATACATGGATCCCCCTCAGCTGCAGTTGCTATACTCCCCTCCTCTCTGGTGCTGACCCCCACTGACTCATGGATCCAATGATGCACTAACGCTCCTCTTTCGGAATGACGCCTATTCTTCTCACTCACAGGAGGATGCACCAGAGAGTGGCGCCATGTAATGCAGCATTAAGAATCAACCCACTCCCAAAGGAATTAGAGGGTGAAGAGGACCTGTGATATGACCAAACCAAAGACATCTGGAAATACTGTTAGTCTTTGGTTCCACAATGGCGTATTGGACACACAGCAAAAAACAATGTCCCTGGAATTAAAAAAAAAAAATTGCCAACTATCAAAGGTGTCATTTGTGTTGTAATTCAAAAATATTGTGATTGCAAACCTTTTGAAAATTGCATTGCCGTTCTAATTCCTGTATGTGCAAACACAACTTAAATATAAGCTGTGACTAGAAAAAAAATGTTTACAATAAAAGCAGTCTGTAAAAGGATATCAATAATACTGACCTGTCCCTCCACCGGTGACCTAAGTCTTCTCTCTCTTGCGGAGCTATAGCTTTTGCTGATATCCTCCGCATCAGATGCTTCCAGGCTTCCATGTTTCCTAAATTTTTAGGATGTTTGGCTGCCTAGCTTGCTGGGGACCTCAGTCAGCTGTCTTTGATAGTGCCGGTCTGCCTGCTCATTGCCTCCTCCTCCTTCCTGGCGCCTGCACAGGACAGCCCATCCACCCGGCACAGCCTTGGAGCCTGGCATCAGGCCGGATTCTACTCATTCAGCCCTAGAGAGCACAGCAGCCGCATGCAGAGCCCTCAAAAGACTGACACCCGCCCACAGGGCCCAGGGTAGATCTGCAAGCAACCCTGATGAGACCCAAATGCATCCCTGGTGAGACCCAAACGCATGCCTGCTGAGTTCTGCACACATCTCTGGTGAGACCCAAATGCAGCCCTAGTGCGATCCGCACACACCCCTGTATAAGTGCTGTGTAATCATGGATTGATGAGATCTGTAGTTCTCTATAGCCGGTTGCCATTCTCAATTGCTGTATAATTAATGATTATACAGCAATAGAGAATGGCAACAAGCTATAGAAGACTACAAATCTCAGCAATCCATGATTGCTAGTTGCCATTCTCCATTGGGGGGTGGAGGTGCATTGAGGAACCTGGCCTTGGGGCAGCACTGAGAGTAAATACGGCCCTGTATGTAGGGCTCATGCACATGGACATAAAAATTCTGTGTTCAGATCTGTAAATTGTATGGTTTTTAGACGAATCTGAACACACACAGGCATTGTATGCAATGGGCCCATGTGCACAGCTGCGTATAGATCTGTAAAATCAAAATACAAAAATCTGCATCTGTGGTCAGGGCTGATTCACAGGGGCGTGTACCGTAAAAAAACGTCCAGATCTCTGCGCTCTTGAGCCACAGCTGTTGCGTATAGTCTGCCTGTACGAATTAATGACAAGATGCTACAGTACACTGGTAAACGCTGCCTTCAGCCTATACTTGCGTACAGATTGAGATGTAATCCCCTGGACACAAACAGTCTGCATTCAGGGACATACATCCGAACCTGTACAGATGTACACGCTTGGGGCAGCGTTTACCTGCATACAGCCGCAGCCTGTCATTGATTTGTAGAGACAGGCTGTACGCTACACGCGTGGCTCCTGGGTGCAGAGATTCACGGACTTCTGCTCCCCTGTGTATGAGCCCTAATGAAGGCATGTGTGCATCTAAATGCATGTACATATGTGTATGTATAAATTTGAGCTAGAGGGATCGAATGGAAGAAGAATTTGGCAGCTTTGTACGTTTACACGTCTAAGGGGGTTATTCACTAAAGAGTTGAAGGATCCAGCCGTAGCTTTGGCTGATCCTTCGGCTCTCTTCGGCCGCTGAAGCCCTTACAGCTACCGAAGGCATATGCTTTGGCTCGACTAAGCCGAAGTGACAGCCGAAGGGAGAAGGGCCGGCTGTTCTGTCATTAAACAATAACAACTAGGCGGAGCTGACCGTGACGTCACGGCCAGCTCTGCCCAGTTGTTATTCATAGGTCGGGACCTGCTAGAACCTTGGTTCTCAACTGGTGGGTCGTGACCCAAAAGTGGGTCACGGCCCCATGTCCAGTGGGTCACCATATGCCTTCCACTTTTATAGGCGAAAGGTTCCTCAGCCTCCCCCTAGAGAAGCACTGTTAGTTCTCGCACCGAGCAGCCGCTCCAAAATATGATGCCCCGGTGCCGAGCGTTGACATGAGGTGAGGTGGAGCTATAGCCACGAGGGAGCTCCATCCATACGTGCATTGCTTACAGCTCTTCACATTCTGGCTCCTGGCACCTCTACAGGCACCTCTAAAGCAAGGGAGCTTTACAAGCAATACACATATGGATGAAGCTCCATCACAGCACAGCAGCACACACTGGACCCCAGGATGAGGATACACTCCAGTTTCCGTAATGGCAACCCAAACGCACCTCCCACCTCCATAGTTCGATCGCCTGCACCGGAAATCGCAGTACCGAAACATGGAACATTGCAGTGCAACTTGGGTCGCAACTTAATGACCGAGGACAAATGTGGGTCCCGAGGTTACACATGTTGAGAGCCACTGTGCTAGAAGACTCCGGCAGGTGCCGGCCAATAGGAAACAGTTGAGCAGAGCTAGCTGTCACTGCTAGCTCCGCCCAATTGTTTTATATTTTCTTTAAAATATTTTTCTTTTTTTTAAATTCTATTTATTTTCATTTTTAAAATAATTAACCTTTTTTTTGTCATTCTTTTCACTTATTTTTATATTCTGCTCGGCACCTCGGAGGTACCGAGCAGAATAGCCAGCCGAATGCCGTTCAGCGGCATTTCGCTATTCACTTACTGCTGTTCGGCTCCTATGAGAATAGGGGCAAACGGCAGCGAACGAGATGTTGGATCGGCTGAGTCGAAGTCAGAGAAGCAGAGCATGTTTGGCTGACCGAAGGCAGCCGATGTATGGCTGAAATCAGCCGTATTGAGCCAGCGTGAATAGCCGAACGTCGTTCGGCTCTGTTCACTTCAGCTTGGTTATTCACTCAGCTGTCTTCGGCAGCTGTGAGAATAACCCTGTAAATGTTTATTTACATAAACACTTCAATGGCCATTATGTACAGTTTTTTTTTTAATGCAGAATCTTGCTACCTGCTGTGTAAATAAATATCAATATATTAATTAAAGCCGCATGCATGATATATGTCACTATGTTTCTATGTATTCCCAGCTTAATTTGTCCATGTCCTGTACATGTTTGAACAGACATTTTAGTGTATGGCTGTGTACATAAACACTAATAAAGTGACCAGGCGCATATTCTGGGGATTGGGGAAACCCTCTGGAAGTGAATTGAATACAAACAATGATAAATGGAATGTCTGATCAGTTGTTTAGTAGAATGTGGGAGAGCAGCTAGTGATACAAAAGATCATCAGTCAACCGTTTGTAACCATAGCAACGGCAGCTGCTTCTCACAGCCGCACATGTGTCTGCTGCCCGGAAGTGTCCCTGTCATCTAACACAACTCTGCACACTAGAGAGAACATCAAACTGCTTATCAGCTATGGCTCTGTCCTCTATTCAGGTGTCTGGAAATCTCTACTGTCAGACATGTTTTCGTGGACAGAAAATAAAACGTCAGGCAATGGAAAGATCACCACAAACATGGCTATTACTCTGGTCCTCTTGTGTCCGCGGCGCTGTGCACGTCGCTCGTGTCTCGGGCGGAAGTAGAGCAGGGGGCGGAGCCTGCTGTTAAATGCAGAACTTGTCAGTCAGGTGGAGGTAGAGCTGGGAAGATGGAGACTCTGGGTACAAAGGGGATAGAGGTGAAGTCTCGGGCCAAGCAGTATGAGAAGCTGGACTTCCTGGGAGAGGGACAGGTAAGTGGTCAGAGCTCTATGCTTGTATGTGAGACGACGAGTGCTGCACCAGGGCTCATGGCTTTTTATAGAGGTGGAGGGGAGATACCATACAGGTGTCCAGGGGTGCCCAAAAAGGGACACCCATTACCCTCCACAAATGCTATCCAATGTTGCAATGGAAGAGCTATGATACTTGGCTTTCCACTGGCCATGTGTCCTACATTCCCACCCACCTGGTGCTGAAGGCTTAAAGCAGACCTTCTACTGAAGACACAAGGTCCCTTGCTTAAAGTGCTCCCCACCCCCCATGCCAAAAAGCTGCAAAAAGAAGAACTATAGGGAAAACTGTGTTAAAGCTGAACTCTGCGAAAAGGAGAAAAACACCCTTGTTGTGGGGCACACCTCCTGCACCTCAAGGGTTAAATGCCAGGTTATGCTGGGGGGTACCAGAAAAAGGCCTTCTACTTACCTTACCCCTTGTTCCCTCATCATCTGGCGCTCTTCTCCCTGATGTTGTGGGCGGTCCCTCTGCGTCCTCACGTACACTGTATGGGCCATTGGTCCTGCATTGTACATGATGATGTCAGTTAGCTTGAGACTGAAGGAACGTCTTAGAGAAAAGCCTGGAGGGATCCTGCAGGAATGAGGGATTCTGGTACCCCAGACATAATTGAGAATTGAACCTTGTGCAGTGCAGTGGGGAGCCTCAATGTAAGGGTATGTTTTTGTCTTTCCTGCAGTCCAGCTTTAAATATACTTAACCTTCTGCCCACAGTGCCTAGGTAAGCATGATGCTTCTTCTGCTGAGATCTCAGGAAATGCAGAGTAGTGCAAATTTCACGAGAACACACTCCTGCATGGTTTAGAATCATCCGGTTGAGATTTTGTCGCT